ATCGGCTTTTTCCATAATGGAAATTAGAGAACTATTAATTAAGCATGAAAATGTTAACATGTCTAGTGCATTTTGCTGCGATGTCATGGGACAGTCACAGAAAATGCAATTATATGATTGCGAGTGAAAGAGAAAAATGCCTCTGCCCAGGGGAACATAGGAAGCTTCCTGAGACCAAGTCAGACCATTGGAGCACCTAGCTCAGTATGGTCTGTTCCTCTTGCATTCACTAACAAACCCTCACAGTGACAGAGGAATCAACAGAGGCAGGGCAAGTAGAGCAGCATAATAGATCTACTAGAGAGGGTGCCTTAATATGTATTTTATTAAGAGGAAGATATAACAGATTAAATGTGTGATTAATAAAGCTGTGTCTGTTTTAAGCTTCAAGCTAAAAGAGATGATTACACTGAAGGCATCTTACAGATTTTTCCACCTTCCAACTTTATCTAAAATATCTTGCTAATTTAAACTGTAGATCAGAGGTGGTCATGCTACCAAACCTTATTGAGGAATGTACATTGCTGTAGACTTGGCTAGCAGAAGATTTTGTTCCCAGGAATAATTGCAATGTGCATCATCAAAGATGGTAGAAATCCCTTGGTATGTAAAGGAATTTTATTTGCAGGGGAGCACATGAAAACTGCTTGGGTTTCCTACCATATTTCTTAAAACCTAATTAGAAGCTTTTATCTCTCTCTTGAAGCGACCAATGTGTTACTCAGACTCAAACTGAACTATCATTATTGCGGGGAATAGTGATTAATTTGTGGGCTGGAAAGAAGCAGAGGAGAAAGTAACTGATTAGATAAAAAAAAAATTAAAAATTGTATCTGAAGAAGTGTGCATGCACACAAAAGCTTATACCCAGAACAAACTTAGTTGGTCTCTAAGGTGCTACTGGACAATTTTAAAATTTATTTTGATTGCGCCAGACCAACACGGCTACCTACCCGAATCTTGTAACTGATTAGATGAACCAGCAAGATCAGGGTATGATGACAAAGGATCTAGTCCTACAACCATAACTCATTCAATCTGATAATAGCATGAGTCAATGACAATTAATTTGGGGAATATTCATCTAGACCAAGACCCCAATTTTATTTTGGAATTTAATCTTGTCACAATTTTAACAATACTCAAGTAAAGTTTCAAAGGTATTCCCATTAGGCCATTAAAGAAAAATGCAGCCCTATTTATTAATTCCTAGGAGGAGAGCAGAAAAGCCCAGATCCTGCTGTAGGGTTCTTGCCTGGGGGGAGATAAGTATGGAGACTAGAGGGAAGGGAGAGAGGACAGTCCATTACATGTTGCCCTTGTTTACCTGTGATGGAAGAAAATTCTGGAGTTAAATAAATAGTTGACCTCTGAAGAAATTAAAGCAAGGTACTTACACAGTTTCATCGTTCTTAAACTCCAGCTCCCCATACGCATCTTCAAAGTCCTCTCCACCTCCTTTTGCTGTTCCTTCTACTGTTCTAAAAGGGACTATGACTGTACCTCGGGCACCAGATGTCCTAAGGACTTTCACCTCCATTACCCCAATGCTCTCACTGACATGTATCACGTCACACTCAAAGGTGAAGATGCCCGCATGGTCATCATCTAAGATAGTCACAGTAGCCACATAAGGAGAGGCCAGCATGGCCTTGGGGTATGGCAAGTTATTGAGCTCCGGAGGAGGTTCGTCTGTCTCAACCACCCGCAGGTTGCTGAGGCGCACGAAGAAATGCTCATCTTCCTCAAAGATGTCATCATCAATGATCCCTATAGAGAACTCTTTCTGGGTCTCCCCTGACTTCAAGACAACCGTCCCTTCTGTAAACTCATAGTCAGCCCCTGCATTGGCAGAGCCATCCTCCGTTTTGTAGTCCACATAGATTGTCTTGGATATGTCTCCTCCTTTCCGAACGACGGTTAGGAGGACAGCACCACAGTTCTCCAGACACTGGTAGGAGCAAGGATCAAAACAAATTTTTGAGATAAAGTCCTCTGGTTCCTCTGGCCGCACCTCATGCAAGCTAGCACTCCTCTTGGCTTGCTCAGCTGCATGCTTTTTAAGGATATTTCCTGCTCCAGTCATCATCCTGGTGGCCTGAATCCGATAGAACGCTCTGCTCTTTTGCTGATGAGATAAGGCATAGTAATTGGCCATTTCCACCAGCTGGTCTAAGTCTTTCTCTGGGTGTTTTTGCTTCAGATCCTTGAGAATCCGGATCATCTCTTTGCGAGACTCGTCCACCTCTTTCCCCTCCATAGGCACTAGGTTTCCATCCAGAAAGTGAGAGTTCATCATCTTACCGTCCATTTCAATCCCTTTGGGGTGCTCCCCCTCAGTCTCAATGATAATACCTCTGTGCTTGTCAGTACGGTACTTTTTGTGCATATACTTGTAGAAGAACAGCCTTCTGTCTGCTATCCAAGCCAGGAGGACACAAACAGGGAAGAAGAACAGAGTGAGGAGGCCTTCCCATACCTGGACCACGCCTGGAGAGAAAACCGCAAGGATCATGTACAACCAGATATAGGCGAAGATGCTCCAAGCTGCAGTGACAAAGAAGACCCTCAAATGCTTTATCTTCCTCACCTCGCCATCAGGAATGACATAGACACAGATGGCTATGATAATAAACATATTGAAAGCTGCACTGCCAACTATGGTTGAAGGTCCCAGATCGCCAGCAATGAATCCATGGCCACAGACCTCTATCAATGACAGGAGGATCTCAGGAGCAGAGGAACCAAGAGCCATGAGGGTCAAATTGGAAACAGTTTCATTCCAAACTCGGATGGTGGTGGTGGTGGTTTCTCCATTGGGTTTCCTGATGGTGACCTCTTTTTCTTGCGAAGTAATGACCTCTATGGATGCCATGAAGCGATCAGCAATGATAGAGACACCGAGGAACATATAGATCAGCGCCACAAAGTAAACAATAACCCTGGCAATTTTGTCCCCCAGAGATGGGTTTTCTGGGTACCATATTGGCAAGATAACACCCTCCTTGCACACCGAGGAACCTGAGCATGTACTGTTTTGTCCTATGCTGGCTGGATCTGCCCCCGTGCCAGCGTCCACCTGCAGACCATGTAAAAAAAGGACAAAAGTAATGAGCCCAAAACGGAGGAAGGCTGAGCTGACAGGTTGCAACCTTAACCACGCCATACACAAGATTTAGCTTCTACTGTACAGAGGCAACAGTCTTCTTTCCAGGTTAAGAACCTGCAACAGAAAAGAATGAGAAGTATGAGATGGAAGAAAACAAAAGAAAGCTGTTTCGTACATAAACAAAGTGCTTCACTGTTATTCACCTCAAGTCACATCTACTTATTAAGTATACAGGGAAACAGCAACAATATCTGGAGGTGTTTATGCAGCACAGGCAAAATTGTAGCACTGATGAGCAAAAAATTCAGAGGCCAAATGTTTACACAGATCCCACAGTCACTAACAGTATAGTTAATTTAGATACCAGTCTCTGGATTATAATAAACAAAATCTGCTCTTATTCCCTTATGGGGGACACAAGCCCTTATAAAGTCCTTTGTAGGTTCTCCATCGGTAGGAGAAAATAACAGAGGCCAACCAGAGAATATTGAGAAGCAAAGTAGCTAGTAAGCCTGATCTTTATTGAACTGTTGCAACAGGGTGCTCCCCTCACACGCAGGAAAGGAGGAGGACCCAGAACAAAGGTGTGCCTGCCTTTATATAGACATTTTAAATTGCCTTCCCTGGAGCTCAAGACCACCCCCCCAAACATCATACCTACATCACAGAAAAGGTGGTCTACAACAGAAATTTGAATGTTGCTGTTTTTCCTGTCTGTCAGGTTATCTGGTAATGCCTTATTTGATTGCCTTTCCTGGTAGTCTGGCCATTCCTTTGAGATGGTGATTTCCCAATTCCTGAGACAATGGGAAGGTTCCCTCACCCCCTCCCTCCTTGCAGAGAAAACATTTGGTCAGTTTGGGAGTCAAAAGGGTTTCAGGGCGGTCTTCCTGTGCTGCTCCAGACATGTGGTCCACATAGCTATGTACATGCTTTGTTGGTACATTTATAAACATTTATTTTATATATATAAGACCTTAATTTTTTTATTTCAGGATGAAAACAGTTCCCAAATGGAAATTGAATTATTATCAAGGAAACTCTACCACAAGAGTCAGTCCTACCACGATGCAGATAGAGGTGAAAAAATTGCAGCTATGTGCAACCCAATCCTATCCATATCTATTAAGTTCAGTGAGACTTACTCCTAGGTAAGTCTGTATAGGACTGGATGCAAATCTCCCACTTCTATGGGCACACACCAGGAATACTACTTCTTTGCCGCCGCAGAACTAAACTTCCTGGTTTATTTTGAAGCTATTTGGGGATTTTCCTCATGTGTTTGTGAGAGTTCTCAGATTTCTCTATATCACTTGTCAATCACTGTTCTGAATTTATTCATTGACTATCAACACTGGAAGGTGAGGACACGCTCATTTCTCATAAAGCAATTGGTTAGAGGGGTTCCTGCACATTTTGCTTTCTAATTCTCACTCTATAAGGGCTAGAGACTTAAAAATGAAAATGAAATGAAAGCTCAGAGTCTCCCCACACCCAAAATGGCCTTGTCACAATAAGTTTCCAAGCACACTCACCCCGTGAGATGGCACAGCACTACTCTCTGATCGAACCACTACTCAGGAGTTCCCCCACTGTGCTTAGGAACCCCAGATCCTACTGGGGAGACAACCTTCCAGTTTTTGTTCTGGGGCCTGGGAAACTGCCCGTCACTGCTGGACACAAGAGTCAACCCATCTTCTCTGGATTCCCTGTATGTACAAGCCCTGTGTTTTGCCAGAGCTGTCTGTTTCGTGGGAGTTAAGCCACAGTGCTCTAAAGCAACCAGCCAGCCTACAGCATTCTCAACTACACAGCTTATTTTAAACAAGTAATGATCAAGGAAGTGGGAGAGAGGTAAGTAGTGTACAACATAAAAAAGAAGAGTGTAACAGGTAGCTCAGCTAGTTAGAGCATGGTGCTGATAACGCCAAGGTAGCAGGTTTGACCCCCTCCGAGGGACAACTGTATATTCCTGCACTGCAGGGAATTGGACTAATCAGTGTTCCCCAAACTTAGGTCTCTAGCTGTTTTTGGACTACAACTCCCATCATCCCTAGCAAACAGGACCAGTGGTCAGAGATGATGGGAATTGTAGTCCAAAAACAGCTAGAGACCCAAGTTTGGGGAACACTGGGATCCTCAGGGTCCCTTCCAACTCTAAAGTTCTTTGATTCTATGGCCAGTATATGGCTAAGCTAGCACCTTTAGGAAAATACCCAGTCCAACCAGTATACAGTGGTACCTCAGTTTAAGAACAATTTGGTTTACGAACTCCCAAAACCAGAAATAGTGTCTTGGTTTGCGAACGTACCTCGGTCTAAGAATAGATTAAGTTCGGAACGGATTAAGCTTCCGTAACGGATTAAGTTCGTAAACCGAGGTACCACTGTACATGGATCCTCTGCGTGTTCCGATGACCACCAAAACTCTTAAAAATCGCTTTGCCTATATTTTCAGTGTCAAGCGGGAAAGGATCCCTGGGGAAAGGAAAGGACCTGCAATAGCATGAAGCCGATCACTCACAAAGAGACTTTGGCATGGCGGTGGGCTACAGAGCCCAACTTCTGCCTCTCAGTCCAGTCCACATAACAGTCCACAAAACAGAGTCCAGTCCAGTCCACAAAACAGAGGTGAGGGAGCAAACAGAGAGAACTTACACTTCTCTGAACAATCTGAGAAGCTGACTCAAAGCCTAGTTCTTATTACTTCTGCTGTGAGCTACTCATTGCTGCAAAGCTGTATCTATAATTTGCTGACACATAAATCTGAATAAGCCCACCTGCAGGCTCTAGTGGCACATGTCATGCATTCTGAACCTCTCACTAGCGCGGTTAGAAGAGATTCCAAGAACCCTGCGCACATGGCCAGAGTTAAATAGTTTATATGCATAATCATAGACCAGAAATGTCTCAAATGACTAAAGAATTTGCAGCGCTGAGTATATTCCAGGAATCATTTGAATGTTATCAGTGTGAACAGATGCATCACAAATGGCAGGTTTATCATCATGTTGTGTCATTCGCTTCTACCCCCAAGCAGGCATAATCTGTCCAGTATCAGCAACGACCAATAATTTTTTTATAAGCTTTCAGATAAGTATATATAATGACAAGCAAAACAGGAAGAAAAGAACGAACAGCGGCTGCAAATGAACAACAACAAAAAGACCCACCAGGCCTGAAAAATGGAGAGAATTGATTTTGTGGTATCAGAATCACAAATCCATATCAGACATCCTTGGGATAGATGAGGACAGAAAGAAGTAACACATCTCCTTGGCATTAAACAGATTAATTCAGACATGACATATTCTTTCTGCCTGGCTCTCTGAAAGCCTAGTTATTTATTTCCTTTTCTAATTTGGACCTGACTTTTGGTGTTAGTCTAGGCAGAGAGAAGCTAAGGTTGTAAAGCGGATTCTGGGGCCAATTCTGCAAGCCCTGACTCAAATTAATCACTGAAGAGAAATGTTGGTGCAAGGTTCCATGACGACCAGCTTTTAAGACAGGCATATCCTTTTCTGTATTCATGTAGAATACAGCGCCTGGCGGGTGGGGGGGGAGGCTTGAAGATCATTGTCCTCCTAAGCCAATGTGGTGTAGTGGTTAAGAGCGGTGGACTCGTAATCTTGTGAACCGGGTTTGCGTCTCCGCTCCTCCACATGCAGCTGCTGGGTGACCTTGGGCTAGTCACACTTCTCTGAAGCCCCTCAGCCCCACTCACCTCACAGAGTGTTTGTTGTGGGGAAGGAAGGGAAAGGAGAATGTTAGCTGCTTTGAGACTCCTTAGGATAGTGATAAAGTGGGATATCAAATCCAAACTCTTCTTCTTCTTCCTGAGGCAGAAAAATATGTGGCTGCATAGATATGCAGCGTTCCACATGGGGGAACTATCCTACGGGCCACATCCAATAGGTTTTTTTATAACCCGCAAACCTCTCAAAAATTGTCATTATTTTTGTGTGTGTGTGTTGTCCTACAGGTCACCTGCTGTGATACCATGATACCAAAAGGGCTGGGGTTTTTAAACCAAAAAACCCCAGCCTTTTCCCGTTCCATTTTTACACTTTTTATTGATTTTAATCCCCACACTGATTATTGATTTTAATCCCCACCCCAAGACTTGCCTTTGAGGTGGTCTGTAGTGAATATACAAATGTAGCTGAGCAGAGAAAAATCTACTTAATAACATGCTTGTCACCTGATGTGATGGTGACCTGCATGTGTGAACTGTCCGATCTAACACCACAGATGGGTCTTCTTTATCACATCACCACAAGCAGAAGGGTTTTCAGTGGTGTGAGTTTACACATTCAAGCTGCGTGTTATCCAGTGTCAACTAATCAAGTGGGGCGGGGGAGGAATCGATCAGCTCACATGCATGTGTGAACTGAAGAGGTGCTGCTCGGTAGAGAAAGGACTCCAGGAAAGTTACAATCTCATGGCCAGCACAGGTTTAACACCAGAGGCAGAACTTGCATCTCACATACAAAAACAGTTCACGTGTTAATTTACAGTTCACATGTTCCTCTTACGTCTAAAACAGTTATGTGAATGCATACGTGATCCTGCTTCTCAACGGTTTCAGTTGTTTTTAGATGGATTTGGAAAGAGAGAAATAGCAATGTTTTAATTGGCCAGGAGAATTTGTTTCCCACAGATCAGGGCAAAGAGATGGAAGAGGAAAAGTTGAAGGGGTAAGCTGTCACTTGCGTAGGTGCCACCCAAATCGTGCTATTCATGGGAACAGGGGATCCTCTCTCCCATTGATTCAAAAACTCTGCATCAGAAGAGAAATGTCTATCTCGTTGGCCTGCTTTTAAAACTGACCTCATACGAAAATTGTCCTTCTGGTTAGAAGGCAGCTGTATGAGTTTGAGAGTCTTTGCATTAACAATATACTGCGGAATTAATTACCGGCTTCTGTTTCTAAGCTGAGAGGTAGAAGCAGCAGAGCCTCCTGTTTTCGTGGGCTTTGTTCAAAGCAAGAGAGCAAGATCAAAAGATCGGGTGTGTTTTGTGTACCCTGTGCAGAAAGACTCACCAGAGAGCAATTTTTTTCAATAAAAACCACATTGTGAATGTATTGCCAACAGCTGAAAATAAATATGTAAATTAAATAAGAAAAGCTGCTTTCACACAGCTCAGTTCTCTTGTTAACAGTATGTGGATATTAAAGCCCACATTAGGAGAGCTCTTCTTATGCATAATTTGCATGTGCAATTACTTTGATTGCGCTGCACATTGCATGATTATGCACATACAGATTGTACCTGCAAAAAAACCCAAACCACTTAAAAAACCTAGGCTTGGGTTTTGGCAATGGTATCTGTACTTTTCTGCAAATGAACCGACAAAAATTCTTAAGGGAGAGGCAAGTTTTTTTTTAAAAAAAATGCATTACAATTTGTAATCCAAATTGTCACCAGAAATTTATTATGTACTTACTTACTACATTTTTATGCCATCTTTTCCTCCAAGGAGCTCAAAGAGGCACACATGGTTCTCTCCTCCACGTTTTATGCCCACAACATTCCTGTGAGGCAGGTTGGGCTGAGAGAAAGTAACTGGCCTGAGGTTACCCAGTAAGCTGAGTGGATATCCGAACCCTAGTTTCCCAAGAGATAGCCCAACATTCCCAAGAGATAGCCCAACACCACACTGGCTCTAAACCCTAGAGAAAATTTTTGTGTGTTGAAAAGAGCCCTAAAGAGAGGATTTCTAGAATGTTCTGCTAAACAACTAGTAACCAGTGACTAAAAGAAAACAAAAGTTTTGAATTTCTACATATCCTTTTTCACAAAGTTACAGCAGTCGTGATCACAACTAGTTACATGTTACAACCTGGATCTCTAGAGCAGCCTTTCCCAACCTGGTGTCCACCAGACTTTTGGACTACAACACCCATCACCCCTAACCATTGGCCATGCTGACCAGGGCTAATTAGAGTTGGCAGTATGAAATACCAGGTATGGGGATGCCACTCTAAGGGTGTGAGTTGCAACAGGATTTCTAAGAAAGAATGTGAGTTTAGAGCCGAGGTTCTCATTTTGTGGTCCATGAGCTCCTACCAGGCCAATGTGTGGAAAGGATCAAGAACAGCTGAGCTATGCACAACTCTCAAAATTGTCTTATGCTATTTGAGGGAAGGAAACCTGCAGGGAATTTTTTCATCATATTTCTCCAGGGGGAGGAGAAATCATCCAAAAGATGGGACTCGCTATTACCAGTGGCAGTTGCACAGCTTATTTCTTTTTTCCTAACTTCTCCCCCCACTCCAGCACCAGTGTTAGCAGCCTGGCCATCATAGGAGCCAACTCCCTTCACCCCCTCAATAAAATACCCTAACCCGCCCCCCCCCCAAGTTGATGGGCATTGCCATTCAAATGGCGTGCATGCATCACATCATGTGATCAATGCTACAGTGTGGGGCTTACTCTCCCCCCCCCCATTATTATATTCAAGTTGGCACTCCTGCTGGCCATCATTTTGCATCCTCCATAGATCCCCATCGACCTTAAACAATTGAAGCAGTGTCATACCCCTATAATCAGTTGCGCCTTCTCCCAAAGAATCCTGGGAACTGTAGTTTGTTAAGGGCACTGAGAGTTGTTAGGAGACCTCTATTCCCTTCACAGAATTACACTTCCACGAAGTTCCCTGGGAAGATGAACTGACTGTTAGGCGCGCATAGAATTGTTAAATATGCACGATCCAGCCTGTAGTCTTCAACACTGACTCTTACACTAACATTTCCATTTAACATACCAGTATTCTTGAGAATGTCAACCTATAAACAAATGGGAGACTCATTCTTCAAGCATAGATATTTATGCAGCCGAAATGGAAGGTGTCAATAGGCTTGTAGGGGCGGGGGATCACAATGTTTGCAAAAAAAATAAGGGGGTAGAATCTAATGAGGATTGAGCATGCTCAGTGGTCCACAATTGCTGGCTATTATT